CTTATTCGCAGTGGCATAGGGATGAAATGTTCGGCGACGTGGGGTAATTTTTAGGCGTGGTAGCTGTTGATAACTGTCAGAAGGACACCCATCAACTTGGGTCCATCTATCGTTGTCATAGACCTCTTGAAATTAGCGGTCGTTTTGCCACTTGTTCTTATCTCGGAGTTGAATTTAACACGGGCATCATCTCTATAACATTGTTCTCTTCTTTTACTTGGCTCAACTCCAGGAGTTGAGGTGGGATATAAACTGGCTGTGCCTTTTAAGAAAAGTTTCCATCTTCATCATTGCAAGGTATGTGTGACAAGTGTTTTTGTTTTGAACGATCAATTGGGATGTGGCATGGCGGGCGTGGCGGGGCACCAGTGATATCTTTATTTCGAGTAAACGCGATTTATGTTTATTTGTATTGTCCTTAACCAGGCTACTTCTCTCAACAATTTCTTTGGGTCCTAAGAAATTCACTGAAATCTCGGGTATTAGAATAGAACTTGGCGATTGTGTGCTGATTGACTTCACCAAGGAATCTTTCGTACATTCCGATTTAGGGCTTGATGACGTTCCATTCAAATGTTTGTTATTTGCAGTGGACCTGATCGGACTAGGCATCGAATCTGCCGGTAAACTACATGGAGTGGGAAATTCAAGTTGTTTCAGACACTCGTTATGGTTTAGGAGTTTTTTACCTCTTCCGTTTATCTGGATATGTTTACGTGGAGTGGAAGAACAACGTTCCTTTATGTTTAACTCAGTGTATAGCGAAGTTTGGCTTCCAGGAACCCTGCGTGGGTGGATGAACGTCGGTACTGGGGAGGGGGGGTGGTGTTTTTAGACATTTCTTGAGGACAATCCAACGACTTCTGAATGACTGGTGTTGATGGAGCAGAAACCAGTATAACTTCATGCATTTCGGGTGAACTACTGAATTCACTTTGTTGCTTACATTCCACAATCTTCTTTTTTCCACTCTTAGATATGTGAAAGTCTTCTGTATCACTAAGACATTGATCAAATGAATGTTCATTTCTCACAGCATCATGTCTCTTTAGTACATTCATTCATTTCTTTGGTATCATTACTTGTTGATTTGGCTTTATTTGATCTTCTTCTCACAAGACGATATCTGCGATGTTTTTTTCACAGACAATCCTTGTGTAACCTTGTTATGGTTCTGGTGAGATATTTGTGACACGATAAATCACCTCTGGTGGATTTCGGACAATAGTCAGCAGTAGATTCTTTTACAAAACCTCTTTTTCGATAAAGTGATTCACAACAACTCCCATTACTAGTTTCTGACACTGTGGTTTTGCATGATGCTGAAATGAAATCATCACTGCTATTCTCTTGACTAAAACCAGAATCAAAATTTTCAATTTCTGCAATTGTACATCCGGAATCATGAAGAAATCTCTTTCTTGATGCAAGCTCAATGCCTGGTCCCTTTGATCCTTTCTGTCTAACAAATAGTTTCTCTACAGATTGCCCTTTGGAAATCAGATACTTTGCAATCATCAAATAGTCTTTGCTTCACACAAGATTTTTCAACCAAACTTGCCTTCTTTGAGATGGACTTCCATTGCCATCATTTTCCTCACCACATTCAGTCTTTAATCGACTAAATACACTTGTCATTAGATGTAGACATTGTTGAACCTGAGACCACAAATCCTTAGGAAGTGTAACTTTCTTGGGGTTTACATTGTTCATCAATATCGTAAGCAGCACATGGTTTAGCTAATACATTATTGCTTATTGTTGATTTCCTGCATGTTGATTGCGTTGACGTCCAGTCCATTGATGGAGATTCTGAGGCCCTCTTTACACATGATCTTGGGTATTTATCTCTGAATAATGTCTCAAATGAAGGACTGCAATTTGAACTGTTTTGCTCATCAGAATCATAGCAACTAAAATAACAAAATATTTCATATTTATTAATGTCATAAAAAGTGTGCATCAAAAAGGTTAATAACATGAAAATAGTCACAACAAACCTTGATTGCCCTTCTTCATCTGATGTGTCAACATTGCTTTCATCAGAACTGTCATCTGCATACATATCTCTTGAAGAACCTTCTAATACAGTCCACTTGCCACATTTTGAATAATTTTCTTGAATAAATTGAATGGAATTGCAGCTATGGATGGGCAATCCCAATACCAAGTATTGATAGTATTGATATATATTGCCCACGATATGTGAACCATTAGGAAGCATAAACACTTACCTATTAACTGTACATTTTCTGGTAGCTCACAAGTGCTCAATGTTAACTCAGGTGCACCATCAAATGGATTGGTGTACTAATAAAATAACCATTTAATTTGTACATATCATGTTATGTTACCTTTCTAGGTGAAAGCAATTGGCAAACGAATTCAAAATTGTTTATATCTTGTTAAAATAAAAATATTGTTATGCAGTAACCTTGGCATATATAAGTTCCAAATCTTCTCTAAACTTGTTTGAAAATCTAAAAACCATTTCCAGAAGGCTATAATTACGTATACTGTTGTTACATGTTACATATCGTGGAACACAATTTTACCTTATCATTTTAGCTTAAGGAATTGCACACTATTCACAATTTATTTTCATCTTTTTCAACGTTTCCAACACTGGCGGCCATATTAAATTTTACCGCGCAAAGGGTAATAAGTTTATGTCCAGTATACACCAATAGTAAAATCGCACTTGTTTTAGCTGGCATATATACATCAATAGCCATAATTCATCATAGATACCCATCATAACATATCAATATACATCCTTACACGCAACTAGGCATTGCTAGACATCATTGCATATCACTGGACATCATTATACATCAATGGACATCATTATACATCACTGGACATCGCTGGACATCATTATACATCACTAGACATCATTATACATCACTGGACATCGTTATACATCACTGGACATCATTATACATCACTAGACATCATTATACATCACTAGACATCGCTGGACATCATTATACATCACTGGACATCACTAAGCATCAATAGACATCATTATACATCACTAGACATCATTATACATCACTGGACATCATTATACATCACTGGACATCATTATACATCACTGGACATCATTATACATCACTGGACATCATTATACATCACTGGACATCATTATACATCACTAGACATCACTATACATCACTAGACATCATTATACATCACTAGACATCACTGGACATCATTATACATCACTAGACATCTTTATACATCACTAGACATCACCAAGCATCAATAGACATCATTATACATCACTAGACATCGCTGGACATCATTATACATCACTGGACATCACTAAGCATCAATAGACATCATTATACATCACTAGAAATCGCTGGACATCGTTATACATCACTGGACATCATTATACATCACTAGACATCATTATACATCACTGAACATCATTATACATCACTGGACATCATTATACATCACTGGACATCATTATACATCACTAGACATCATTATACATCACTAGACATCTATACATCACTAGACATCACCAAGCATCAATAGACATCATTATACATCACTAGACATCGCTGGACATCATTATACATCACTGGACATCATTATACATCACTGGACATCATTATACATCACTAGACATCACTATACATCACTAGACATCATTATACATCACTAGACATCATTGGACATCATTATACATCATTGGACATCATTATACATCACTAGACATCACCAAGCATCAATAGACATCATTATACATCACTAGACATCGCTGGACATCGTTATACATCACTGGACATCGCTGGACATCATCATACATCACTAGACATCATTATACATCACTAGACATCATTATACATCACTGGATATCACTAAGCATCAATAGACACCATTATACATCACTAGACATCGCTGGACATCATTATACATCACTGGACATCATTATACATCACTAGACATCACTATACATCACTAGACATCATTATACATCACTAGACATCACTGGACATCATTATACATCACTAGACATCACCAAGCATCAATAAACATCATTATACATCACTCAACATCAATAGACATCATTATACATCACTAAACATCATTATACATCACTGGACATCACTAGACATCATTATACATCACTGGACATCACCAAGCATCAATAGACATCATTATACATCACTAGACATCGCTGGACATCATTATACATCACTGGACATCACTAAGCATCAATAGACATCATTATACATCACTAGACATCATTATACATCACTAGACATCATTATACATCACTGGACATCACCAAGCATCAATAGACATCATTATACATCACTGGACATCATTATACATCACTGGACATCATTATACATCACTAGACATCATTATACATCACTAGACATCGCTGGACATCATTATACATCACTGGACATCACTAAGCATCAATAGACATCATTATACATCACTAGGCATCGCTGGACATCATTATACATCACTGGACATCATTATACATCACTGGACATCATTATACAACACTAGACATCACTGGACATCATTATACATCACTAGACATCTTTATACATCACTAGACATCACCAAGCATCAATAGACATCATTATACATCACTAGACATCGCTGGACATCGTTATACATCACTGGACATCGCTGGACATCATCATATATCACTAGACATCATTATACATCACTAGACATCATTATACATCACTGGACATCACTAAGCATCAATAGACATCATTATACATCACTAGACATCGCTGGACATCATTATACATCACTGGACATCACTAAGCATCAATAGACATCATTATACATCACTGAACATCGCTGGACATCATTATACATCACTAGACATCACTAAGCATCAATAGACATCATTGTATATCACTGGACATCACTAAGCATCAATAGACATCATTATACATCACTGGACATCGCTGGACATCATTATACATCACTGGACATCACCAAGCATCAATAGACATCACTAAGCATCGATAGACATCATTATACATCACCAGGCATCACTGGACATCACTAGACATAATTATGCATCACTAGACCTCACCAAACATCACTAGACGTCACTGGACATCACTAGACATAACTAAGCATTACTAGACATTAGTGAACATCACTCGGAATCACTGAACATCACTAGACATCACAAGGCATTATAATCCATCACTAGACATCACTAAACAGAACAAGACATCAGTAGGCATCACTAGACAGTCACTGAACATAATTAAACATTTATGTTAGTATCCTAATACTTCATGAAGAATAATTCAAAAGAAATACATCATCAAACGATTTTTCTACTGATTTACTCATTAAATTTCAACATGACACATGCCAAGGAAATTACGCACGCGCACATTAGGCAAAAAACCATGTGACTCAATTTGGCTTCAGTTTCATATCTGTGTATATGATTATGAGCACATGTCTCTGAGCTTTGCTAAAAATAAAATACTTGTTTCTTGTTGATGTCAATGCCAAATGGAGCCTGTTGATGAAGTCGAAGCGGCTTGTGAAGAGGTAGATCCCAATAAGCTTATATCTAAGAACGGTGTTCTTGGATATGAACGTACAAATGGGTTTGAAGAGATAACAAATTTCGACGTAAAAGTCGATGGGTATGTTGGGGATGGAGAAGGGAGTGTTATAGGGTACATCATCCGTATAATTTTAGCAGTGAGGGATCCATTTATATCGGCAGATAATGACAGATCGTCAAGGTAAGATGTGTTGTTAATTTTTTTCTGCACCCACCTAACCGGCAGCTAGCTATGTATATTTTGTTAAAATAAACACTGCCACTCAAACGTAATTTTGTTGTTTCGGTGCGTATTAAAACAGCACTTAAATATCATGAAAAGTATAAAAATTGAAGACTGGCAAGCTTTTTGTTATGTTTAAATTAATAATAGAGGATATTAGGCGGTGATTTTTTCTTCGAGTGGTGAGTAAAAATGTTACGCATGAGCGCAGAAAATGAGAAAAATATAGTTCTCACCACGACTAGTGCGTCCACGTTTTTTGTGCGCATGCTCAGCAAGTTACCAGATGCATTCAATGCAAACCCATTGGATAAAACTGCTCGCGTAACTTGCCGAGCACCTGCAGTTTATCAATTTTTTATCGTCGGCTTTAAAGAAAGCTGGGTACAGAATAACATAATTTTCGGCAGTGTTTACAACGTGTAGTTCCAACTCTGTATCTAGATTTACTCTGTAATAATACATAGCATATTACACTGTCGCGTGAAGATATATATGTTATTTACCGGCTGCGAGGTTCGGATAGAAAAATATTTTTCAGGGAAATAGGGAAATATTTTTCTATCCGGAAGAACCAAAACGGTAAATAACGTATTTATTTTTTTACAAAAAGCGGCGTTCGGTCGTATCGTAGTCAGACTCATAAAATATAGGATTCCGGACAGTGGTCAGATATCGTAAAATTCCACCCCCTGCTACAGCCAATCAGCTTGCAGGAAAGATTGCAGGGAAGATTGCTCATTACCATAGCCTGCGTCTTACCGGCGTTCACCGTTAGATAGTATCATAGTTGTCAGAAAACTAACGATCAAGAATATTCACGTCCGTGTTGATGCGAACTAACAAGCAAACTCACAGGCAGAATATAATGCGGTCCCGAATTTGGCGTGGGCACCGCAATTCCACTGTAATCACCGAATTATACAGTATAGAAATTTAAAAAATTGATAGATATAAATGTATGATTACCTACTACAAATGTGCAAAAATCGCTAACAAAAGCTAAAACTCGGCAAATTTCAAGATCCGACTTCAAGTTCATATACGACTTCAAATTCGATCGGTCTTCGAAAATAAATGTTTATTTAGTCATTTGAGTTTACAAATAGCTTACGTGCATGTTGATTTTTATAGAGTATTTTACAAATATCTGCTGCAAGTACTTTGTGAAAACAGGGGGAAGCATGAATCACTACACTTGCTTGGAATAGAATCACGGGCAAATTCCATAAACCAGAATTTTCAATTTCTAGGAAATAAATATTACTTATTGGTTATTAATAATTCGGTTCTTTTAATGACTGTTTTCTAGGCAATTTTTTTTAACCAACCGGCAGCTTGGTAACAACACAACGATAGTAAACTGCCTCACTGCAAAATTCCCACCGCTGTGGATTGCCCAGTCAAAGGACATGTTTCTGCCGCAGTTTGTATACAGTCTATGCAAGGAGTACATGAAAACTCCAAGTGAGGAAATAAAAAGTTTCAAACCTGTAGAGGTAAGTAATTTGTTGATTGTTGCGCAAATGCGTTTTCTGTTTTTAGGGCATTAAGCTTTCGTGGCATGAGCCACGAAAGCTTATAAGGTTAATTTGTGGGTTTGCATGAATCCCATGCTTTCTAAACGCACTGCATTTCACAGTTTTGAAGCTGCGCAAAGGCCACGAATGGACTATGACTCGTGTCCAGCACTATTAGCATCTGCGGATAGCTGTTTCGCCCTTTTGCGGCTAAATGGTGATATATATTACCGTAATTACTCGAATAAACGCCTCCCTCAAATAAACGCCGCAGGGACAAGCAAAAATATCATTAAATGCCGCCCTCAGTGTTCATGCTATATTTTATACAGATTGTTGGAAAACAAAAAACTGATGATGTATGGGTTTTTAATCCACATGTGCATGTCGACAAGAATGGAAGGCTTATCCCGCAAGACGAAAGAGCATATGTTTCGATGGAAGCAAGTAGCTTGCCATATTTACGAAATATTAGCAGTGGTAATAAATACATGTACCTTCATATGCCTTCTTTTTTTATCCATTCAGTAAAGAATTAGTCATCAGGGTTTATTACCGGTATACAATAGACAGTTATGGATAATCTTCGCAGCTATCTTCTCCGTATAACTTTAATAAATAGTGTTATCGTTAAAAGTAATAAGTACTAAAGAATTACTATAGCTTCTTTAAAAAGATAATTTATAAAAATTACACTGAATTATTTTCCTCCAAAACTCGAAAGTATTTAAATTTGCAATGAAGAACGTTGATTTTGAAACTCAGTAAATTATCATTAATTGCACCTGAGCATTAATATTAGTTTCAATCGCTAGAAGGTAAAGAGTTTTATAATTATGTTTAGATTTAGATGATGGAGCAGCATTTAAACGACTTTTGGTCACGGAGAAGGCGTTGTTTCAAAACAACTATCCCCAAGTTGTGTTGGCCCATGCTGGCAGTAGCATGGCGTGTAATTATGATCTTATATTAAAAAAATTTGATGGATGTGCCATTCCAGTGCTCATGGGACCATCAGTATCGGGAAAGACTACCGCCTTGAAAGCTGTAATGAGTATATTTGGCATACGAAAATTTACGTGTGGTTAGTGGTTTTACTCATATGGCCAAATAAATGCATGCTATACTTTAGATACAATCTTGCATGGACCTTGAGTTGTGACGATTATTCCAAATGTTGCATCTATTTCAAGTTAACGATTCACCCAAATTTTTTTTAAACTTAAAATGTTTGTCTGCTTACAAAATAATTAAATAAAGTGCGTTTATTTTGTTCTTATAGTGCTTCATGTGACTTCAGTTTTTCGGGTTTGATCATTATTTGAGATAATGATCACTATTTGCCTTTTGATG